CTCTGTCATGTTCCCACAGTATCCCAGCTTTTTGCCTGAGGGATCCGATCGCTTCGCTCCGAGGTGCCCGAGACGACCTTGTAGCTCAGTCCATCCTTCACAGCCTCGCTGTTTGAGGAAGAGCCAAGCGATCCGATTGCAAACTTGTCAACACCTTCAACCGAGCTGGTGGACAGCCGGACATCCTCTGGTTGCATAAAAGAGTCTAATTAAAGAAGGCACAAAACTTGCATCATCTGAAAGACCCGGGAACGACCATCCATTTTTTGCAGATGATGTGATCAGCCTTTTATGTCGTCCCGGGCATGCATGGCTGGCTCGCCAGATTGGAATATTCAAGTCGTTGTGATATTGCTTGTTACCCGGAGACTTTTTATGCTGCGCTACAATGTCCTGACAGATTTCTGACGTCATGATGTCTCCTTTAGATGCTCGAACTGAATAATTGCCAATAGTATGAGCTTCATAATCAACACTAGGATCCCGAAAAAGAAATACTGCTTCCAACCAAGGATCACTCACACACCTTAGTCGACCTTATATTGCCCACTATCACAGTTAAAATGAACCCAAACTGTGCTCATGATGATTGGTATATTTGGCCAATTCATGACGAGCATAATCACTTTTGGGTCATGATGTGATCGCTAAGCCGATTATCCTTATAATCAAACGTCCAATCCTTCTTTTTTAATTGTACATTATATGATTACTCATGAGTAATATCGCTAACAATTACGATATACGTGGCCCTTGTAATTTCAGGAAGGTGCGCCCTGAACGACTGCACTGAAGTCGGTCCTCTCGGGGTGCACATCCGCGGAAGCCAAAGCTCCGACTTCTATGAGGTGAAATGTGCATGTGAATTCTTGAAATTAGAAGCTCTTAATTGTCTTAACTCAGTTGATGATGTAACCTGTATGATGGAGACAAATTATGCATAGATAAAACTATAGTACTTGTTATGACGATCCCAACATTCTCTAGCCAGTCAATAAGCCTAGCTATCCCTTCCTTGCATAGGCTCGATTCAGCTTCGTCCCTTAGGATGTTTGCAAATCGCCATTTGTGTTGCCCTTGATTGGAGCCTTTTTGCATGCACTAAATGAGGAATGAGAAAACACCTCAAGAACACCGAGATAATACCCATCATAATTGCACATAATGATTCGTCTGCCAAAGTGTACGACTTAGCACTTCTCAGGACTAACTAACTTGAAAATTTCAGTATAACTATGCTTAGAGAATATCAGTAATTCTTGAATAACAACACAGCTAGCCTCGGTCAGTTGAGTTTTCGTACAATCAAATGGTGCCAGTTGTTCACAGAGCGGATGTGACGTGTAAATCACATTACCGACTCACTAAGCATTCAGTTATATTGCAATCGATGACGCTACTCATTTGTGATATAAGTAGCTTTCGAGAGTGAGTTCTTATTCAAGAATGTGTGATACTCTAAAGGCCTATGT